AATACAGTGACATGAAATAACAGTTATAAGTATTTCATATCAAATACTTATGCCACTGTGCTCTGTGTAAGCCTATGTTGAGTTAAAACCCTCAGTTGAATGCAGCGAGTCGCCGAAGTCTTGGATACGGAATACTCAGCCTACACAGAGAACATGAAATGTGTGTGGTAAAGTGGATCCCCAAACCATATGTAACCAATTACCTCACTACTTCACGGACGTGGGTGCTTCGTGTTAACGCCCCATTACTGGTAACATAATGCAGCTATATTACCGAACCTTTGAAATAAATGCTAATTTCTGTCAATGTGGTAATGATGCATTTACCCATGATCGAGCATTTAGGAGAGTAGGAAATAAAGGATAAATCTAAACCTGATCATACAGGATTTCAAGGGTATTTAAACCATGTCATCAATAAACAACATTTACCATTATTTCAGACTTATAGATATAGGAAAACGATTGCCATATTTACACACCTTTGTCATATTTTTCATTGTCTCCCAAATTTACAGTTATTTTATGAAATGTGCATTTAGTGGCCAAATGATACGTACATTTCAAACGTCGGTCATATGGGCCTCGGTTGGAACGTTTATTTCTTAACATGGTTATATTTGGGAAATACTGTTCCTCCGTTTAGTGTTGGGAATCATGCGAGGGGTGATTTCCACTACTTTCTCTTTATGCAGCTCAGTATTTCTTAGACTCGTGGAAGACATTTCAAAATTTGAAGCATCACTGACAAAAATGATGTCCGATGCAACTCCCTGTTTGGACTCCTTACATTCCCGTTGTATGTTGGGAGGTCCGGTCAACTATTGACTTGTATGCATCTGTCACGTTTACCAGCGGTGGGGCAGGTGGCTCACCTTTCCCTAACACATGGATTCACAGTAGATAGATATCCGTTTGATACACTCTCAGTTATCTCCCATTTTCCCCACAGACACCCATTTGACAGACACCCAATTGGCAGACACTGAACTAGAAGGTTAATTAGGGTAACACCTATGGGTATAATGGAACAATCCACTGTCCAGTGAGTAGGGCAGGGTGAGCCTGAAACAGGTTCGTTACTGACAAGTTTGATTGTGGGTAAATAGAACTTTGTTGTGATTAAATGATAAATGATATCTCTTCTCAAAATTTATTTTACTATCAATTACTATCGAATATAAAAACAGGTTTGTCACTGAGAGGTTTGATTGTGTTTATTGATAGAAAAGCCCCCCCCCCCCAATAATAGCATATGTATACAGCTGAAGTTAATTGAGAAAATGTTTTGTTGGAGAGATATAGATATGTACATATTTGAAAACATTCTGATTTGTAGTAAATGAGACACCTGCATTGCCATGTAAGATACGATTAATACCAATCAGTGTTCTAATTTTAGCAATTCTTTCTTAAGATTGTAACAGTTTATGTCTTTGAGTAGTATACAATAGACATTCAAGGAAGTAATGAAAAATATTCTCACATCCATGGCCACATTGACATGATGCGTCATTTTTAAAAAAGATTATTCTAAATAAATCGTAATTAAGTGCACTCGTCATATATCTTAATATTGCGTGCAAAACATGTAACTTCTTTATTCCATATGAATAATATTTAGGTTCACATTTGTCTTTATTTGATTTATATGATACAACAGTGTCGCAATTTCTAATAGAGAAGCTAATGTTTTCAATATGATGATGCCGACCCCCGTTAGACTAGAAATGTTTATGAAAATATACTGTTCAAATTACTGTCTTTTCATCCATCTTTCAAAATAAATAATATAGCTTCAGTTTGTTCCTGTGTTTTTATTTGGACTATTCCAATATAATGTGCAGGTAACAGGTAGTAGATAATCTGTTCACTGAACCGTAAATGTTGTTGTTTTAAGGTGTCTGCGAACTGGCTGTCTGCGTAATGGGAGGACACCTGCTGAAGAGTACCCGCAGGAGGCATAGTTCATTAATGAGTTAATTAACACAGAAGACATTGTTCGTTGAAGAGCATTTTTTGTTTTCAATAGATACTGAAATACTGAAAAAGATTATCCTGAACTGGTGATATATTCTACTTGTGGAATGGTGATCGGAAAGAGCAGTCAAAGGTTAATAAATACATTTGGATTGATTATAGTTACAACAGTTATTGCTAGATATTTCAAACACGTAAATCTGAGTAGGTAAATTTATTTCTCTTTCAAATGATCACAAAGTTACCTACACAAAATGTTTATTTTTTAAAGCCATTTATCTGAGTAGGTTAATTACTTTATCTTTTAGAGTTTCATTAAGTTACCTCCACATGATTCAGTTGAATAGCTAATCCATAATTAGCTGGGGTTAATCCATTCTATCAGATAGGGGAGTAAGGTGTGTTTTCTTTGCTAAGTATCTACTCCACTGTCTCACAACTTGGAGTCTCACAACTGGGAGTTCTCACAAATGGGAGTAGACCCTTTCAATCTCTAATTATGCCCAGCCACGTAATGGCGTCTCGCTTGACTCCCGGGCCTGACATGTAGGAGACCATACCAACGTGTCTATGCATGGTGAACACAGCGTACAAGCCTGTGATGTTGTTATCGTTGAGCACTACAGGATAGGTATGGGTAGCGCCTCTGACGGGAAATGGGTCAATGTGACACGCCGGCTGTAAAACTATTGAAATTCAGCCAGAACCCTCAAACAGCCTGACCCTCGGGTTTTATTGATTTTCAAGTGTAACTGTAAATAGTCTATGCTATGTGTTTGCGATAAGACGCTACTTGACACCAATGAGATGAAGTCTGTTCAGTCTTAATGACCCAGTCATACATATATTTCATTTAGTGAAATGTGTGCCAGTAATAGTATCAAAATAACTCAATAAAATATGAATTTTGGCATATCCAAATATAGTTCCTAATGAAGATATTAATGAACAGTGTGAGTATACATAGATCGGACACGCCCCTCCCGAGATACAGGAGACATAGCAACATAATATTTTTCAGAGTTTGCTTTCAACAGAAATGTTATTGTTACCGGATTGTGTTTATCCTTGCTTGTAAATGTAGCTGTTTGTTGAGTATTATAGTCAGATGCGTTCCTTATTCATCGAATGTGTTTGATTCCATCTAAAAACATACTACCCATCAAAAGTTTAGACTCACTAGTGTAATTGTAGTCACTTACTTCAGTCAACTGTTCTGAACTAGATTTTGCAAAATATTCCGTACTGTTTAAAAGTACTGTTTACACATGAACAGATATATAGTAAAACAAATTCGTAATGTTGAAAAGATTTTTGTCACGATGAAACTCAGTGAAAATTGGCATATTCTTCACTAAACTTTACACCTAAACGCAGCTGTTCACATGCACGATAATTGCACATGCTTTTCAGCAATTTGATGCATGATCCTCGTACAATGCATCAGCATAAGGTTTGCAGTTGGTTCTCCTAAGTTAGTGGAGAAATTCATCTTCGATGTAACCGTCCACATATACATGACATATAGTGAGTGTTTTAAGTGAGTCTAAACTTTTGATGGGTAGTATATGTCGGCAACTCTACAATTGTAGACAAGGAAACCTTAAAAGAAGCCGGTAAACACCCGGTAACCAGCGTTAATCTTACCAAGGTATGCAGCACTTTAGTCAGCAGTGAAGATATGATCTCACTGTGTATGACCGGGGACGTGGGAATAAGGTACACGCCTTTACTGCTATGTGATGGTTTATGTATAGTAATTGTTTTATTCTTTGTACATTCGGATTTAAACCTCATAATATTATGATGATCTGACATATCTTTATTTATTCATTCACATATACATGATTTGGTAGGAAATGCAACTACCAAGTTGAAAGTGTTTATTATCATTTAGAAGCTGGGTGTAAACATGGCAGGGAGAATGATTGTGGATGACAAAATCTGTATAACATACACACAAGTCAGTGTACTGCTATTTCTTTTGGTGAGTGACAGAGGGAAGAAACAATATAATTTGCGTCACTGTATATGTGCACATACATGCATGCATACATAAAAGTGGTTATAGATTCAAAGTTATATTGACGTAATGGCACAGTAAAACATAATAAAATATTTTATTTCACATTTTCCCCATGCTCATGCAAATGAAGACATTACTTTTGTATACATATATATGCCTCATCACGTGCTTGATAACCGTGTTAGTACCTACACCGAAACGTCATCACTTGCTTGATAACGGTGTTAGTACCTACACCTAAACGTCGCACTCATTGCAATTAAGAAGTTGACTATCCATAGAACTTGGTTTCCCTATGCCTGTGAATACGTAAAGCCTGTGTCACGAACGGTTGATTTGATTGTATATATACTGTATCTACACGTGACGCCCGTTATAGATATTTCTAGAATGGTTCAATAGTAACATGAGACATGTTTCAACTTCAGCCTGCTATATGTAAACATAAACTATAAGGTTGACGTAACATCGCCACGCCAAAGACACTTAACGTCACATACTCCCCAAAATACTTCACTTTATGAACTATTCCGCTAAAACGGAATACCTTGTTGCCAGAGACAATATGAAGACAGCATGTAATTATATGCAGTGAAACTGCGTCACACTTTACCTGCCAGGCGATTACTCCATGCTTACATACACGCCGATCAGCTAATTTAATGTAATCGTATGTTATATTTCACAATTGCGTTTTCATAAAAGTAATCTGAGCGAAAGTGAAAATAATCGTAATGACTTACAATAAACAGAGGACACTCACATTGATTATAAGGGAGGCATATCGCAATAATACCGCCGGTGTCAAAATTTCATAACTGTTAGACACTAGGTGTAAACACTCTGGACGGTCCGCAGGCAGTGTTCAATGCATGGAAACAGTAAACATTTCATACCAAGTCTACACAGGCTTATTACAGCATAGTGTAGTATGCTATGATGGCAATAGTGTCTGCTACATTATCTGTAACACCAAGCAATAACATTAACTCACCTTGCTCATTGTGATAACTTTCAAACTTTGATGTCCTTATCCAGTACAGGTGTGTTTATGTTGAAAGTGGAGGTGCTTATCTTGTCAACGCGTGCTGATATCACGTGACTGTGTAGCGGCCACCACAATTACCTCGAAGTTGAGTGACGTAGTATTCTTTGAACAACGGAAATATACGAGCAGATTGCCATTGGTAACAGTTTAGTTGATGTCCCTTACAAGCTGAAACAGAGAGAACATTTTTAACCGAAATCTCCTGTTTCGATATTATTGACTTGAGACATAAAAACGGAATATATGCTGGTTTTTATTATCTAAAAATCTTCGCTTTCAACATGACTTCACAACTATCATGGTATAATAGAATAAATTAGTACTGTTAGTTGTAGATATTTGTACCACTGATAATTAGGATTTCAAGAACTACTTTAAACGATTTGTCACATTCGACCTGTCAACTGGAAAGGAGGCACTTACAAGGTTCCACAAACACTCCGGGTGGTGCTAATGCATAAATCATACACGTTCGCTAGGTCCGTTAGCTACAGAGCCATCAACACGTACCTTGGTACCTATTTACATGTGTTAACACGTGTTGTCTGACCCACTGTGTCACCTGCTTAACCGTTCAAGCAGTATCAAGGTACCCATCGTAAACAACTGTCCGAGGGCGCTACTATACTATATGCCTGATCTCTTTGACGATTTCTTCTCCCTTCGTATTAATCTTTCTAGGCCTCGTTATTTGTATTGTTATCTTACCTAACTACCAAGTCTACCAACTTTTCGAAAACATTTAAAGACACATCTATTTGAAATGAAATAGACTGATCTGCACAAGCGCCTGTGAGCAGCCTAGCTGGAACTCGGCGCTATAGAAGTAGATTATTATTATTATTATTAACTAAAGCGGGGCTGACGCTAGTGGAAATATACTAGTTTAAATAAATGACTTTAAATAATTTAAGTAGGGTGATGCGGGTCACGGCCCTGACCCCCACCAGGTCGATATGATGCTTCACGTATCGTCTTCTGTATTGTCGAAAACAGATAACAAGTATTTGTATTTGCTTCTAGACGTAATTGTCTCGGCATATAAATACATCTACAATCAAACAGTCATATGAAACAAACGAACGCAGTGTAACAGATTGTCGCGATGTTAACAATGACCAGCATTTTTCTGTCCAAATACACCTTCCGATAAAGACAGATGACTTGATTGAGCAGGCTCCGCAGTCAACATCCTCCTTCGGCCTGCCTTCGGCCTTCGGGTTAGACCTGATCTTTTATAACACGACATTGATCATGTTTATTGTTTTTCATGGCCCTCCTTACCCGTGAAGATCCGGTTACAATTGGTCTTCATCAACCCGTGCTTGTCGTAAGAGGTGACGAACGGGATCGTGTGGTCAGGCTCGCTGACTTGGTTGACACATGTCATCGTATCCCAACTGCTTAGACGATGCTCATGCTGTTGATCACTGGGTTATCTGGTCCAGTTCGATTATTTACAGACCGCCGTCATATAGCTGGAATATTGCTGAGTGCGGCGTTAAACAACGAACCAACCACCTGTATGTCATGGGGGCTAGAACAGGTAAACCAGAGACTTAAACAGAAGAGTGGTTCACCACATCAGTGGAAGAATACACTCAGTCAAGTGAAGGAGATCACCCGATTTCTATTTGAATCGATCTTAAGACCCCTCGCAGTGCATACATTCCTCACCCCCTTCATTGGTAAGTTAAAGTATGCATTTCAATCATAAAGAAAACTGTACAGATAACGACAGGTTTGTTGGATTTTTCGAGATTTCGATGTCAATTCTTACCCGGTTTTCAAGATCTCTTCACGTGTAATAAACGTTGTTACCCACAAAGTTGCATGCTTTGTTAATTACACAGCCACTTCTCGAATGCCAATCAACTGTCATGTTAATTCGATACTATCGGTGTTACATCCGTTCAAACTAAGGGAGCCCCGCCTTGCGCTCTGTTCATTAATTCGTTGAGTAAACAAAGAATAATAAACAGGATGGCTATTTCCTATATCTTTACGAGAACCTATTTCAGAAAATATTGGCGGCATTAACCTGTTATAATCTTTTAGGAGGATAGATTTTACAAGATTCTTTGGTTTGCTTGAAACATAGTGTAACACAGTTGATCTTGCGTTTGGTTGTGCGGTGTGGGTCATTGAAATCAAAAATAGGTTTGTCTGGACAAGACTTGAATAGTAATCTGCAGAAGCGACAGGACAAACAAACAACATCACCATTACAAACATAATACAAACATTAGTCACACATGTTTGGGCATAACTACATACTTGGATCAAGGCAAGAGGAGTCACGGATGTTGTATGTTGAAAAGACTGAGGATGTTCAAGTTAACCGTTCTCATTTACGCGACGCTATGTGTGGGGTATCTATTGCAGCATCGCAGTGTCTGAATGAACTCTGTTGACATACTACTCTATGATGTCTGTATACCCGGCGATAGTGTTACCACGTGATATGAACGTGATTGATAAGTGGGGTGTCACTGGTATGATAAAGAATATGGTGTCCTAAGATAGGCGGAGACGAATATTTGCCTTTCTGAAGTTAGGAAATAATTATTGTAAACTAGAACATTGAGTGAGTGAATTGGGTGTTACGCCGCTTTTAGCAATATTCCACCAATATCACGGCAGGGGGACACCAGAAGTTGGCTTCACACATTGCACCCATCTCGGGAATCGACCCAGGGCCTTCGGCGTGATGAGCGAACGGTTTAACCACTAGGCTACCCCATCGCCTCTAAACTAGAACATTGAACGGCAATTATTATTACAAGATGGCACGAACGCCTTATTATCATTGTTAATTTTAGTATTTTCACATTTCGGCGCATATTAAGTTCAGATATATCAAGAATAAACATATCCACATCATGAATCGTCAAGAAAACATAAACGAAATGCATATGCAAAGATTGTTTAGGTTTTCTGTCAGTGGCATTAAACAGCGACAACAAACAGGATTTTCTCTTCGTACGAGTGCACTGTAACACTGTGAACAGAATATATCCTGTTACAAAATCTGTCGACACCCCGTGACAGACTCCGGTACTAGGAACCTCCTGTATGTACTAAGGCCATCGTTTAGAAAGTGATATGGCGGCTGATAGGGGTTCGCTTACCTGGAACAAATTCTACTGCTGCCTGTTTACTTGTAAGCTGTTATGTTGACGTTAGGTCACTCTCTGATTGTGTAATCACGTGATATGAACGTGGAGAAATACGCAATTTACTCCGCCTTGATATGTGATCTTTAATGTGTTATCACTATATGGATATATGGCATTCTTTCATGTTTTTTAGAAATGTCAACAACCTTAAATATGGCATATCAACTATAAACTATTCAATGTGACTGGCTTCGACAACTAATGACCCACAATGTATGTTCAGTTTCCAGTGTGAATTACATTTATTTAACATCCTTCCTAAACTGAAATAGTCTATACGGGGTAAACACTGCTATAGCTGACACAAAACGTTTTCGCAACGTTGTGGGAAGGTTGTAGATTGGAAACGTCATGACACAACGTTAGTATTACCTCATTTTATAACGTTAAGTCACAACGTAATAACAGCGTTGCAAATTTACGTTGAGGAAACGTTATGTTTTGGTCTCCCCACAACGTTATAACAACGTTTCTTATAACTTGACAAATAACATTGGAGTGAATTTCTACTTTGTTTTGTACTGTTCACTACTGAGAAAACTATTCAACTCTCAACGTTAAATAAAACGTTAAGACAACGTAAAATATGTCAGCATCAAACAACTTAACCTTGTGGCGACGTAAAAATGACGTGTCACAACGTCAGGCCACAACGTTGTGACAACGTAAATGAGGGTCCACAGAAGAGCGTTGAAACAACGAAAGCATACATTGTGACAACGTGAAATTGGTAGCGGGGAGGTCTCCATGTACGTCCCTGTGAACAAACGTGGACACGGGGTAAACTCTGTGTTAGTGCCGTGTTAGGTCTCCATATACGTCCCTGTGAACAAACGTGGACACGGGGTAAACTCTATGTCAGTGCCATGTTAGGACTCCATGTAGGTACCGGTGGACACGGGGTAAACTCTATGTCAGTGCCATGTTAGGACTCCATGTAGGTCCCTGTGTAAACCCTATGTTAGTGCCATGTTAGGACTCCATGTAGGTCACTGTGGACGCGGGGTAAACTCTGTTTTAGTGCCATGTTAGGACTCCATGTAGGTCCCTGTGGACACGGGGTAAACGCTATGTTAGTGTCATGTTAAGACTCCATGTAGGTCCTTGTGGACAAACTTGGACACGGGGTAAACTCTGTGTTAGTGCGATGTTGGGTCTCCATGTAGGTCCCTGTGGGCAATCGTGTACACAGGGTAAACTCTGTGTTAGTGCGATGTTGGGTCTCCCCTGTAGGTCCCTGTTAGGCAATCTCCATGTGGTCCCTGTGGGCACACAGGGTAAACTCTGTGTTAGTGCGATGTTGGGTCTCCATGTAGGTCCCTGTGGGCAATACACAGGGTAAACTGTACACAGGGTAAACTCTGTGTTAGTGCGATGTTGGGTCTCCATGTAGGTCCCTGTGGGCAATTGTGTACACAGGGTAAACTCTATGTTAGTGCGATGTTGGGTCTCCATGTAGGTCCCTGTGGGCAATTGTGTACACAGGGTAAACTCCGTGTTAGTGCGATGTTGGGTCTCCATGTAGGTCCCTGTGGGCAATCGTGTACACAGGGTAAACTCTGTGTTAGTGCGATGTTGGGTCTCCATGTAGGTCCCTGTGGGCAATCGTGTACACAGGGTAAACTCTATGTTAGTGCGATGTTGGGTCTCCATGTAGGTCCATGTGGACACAGGGTAAACTCTATGTTAGTGCGATGTTGGGTCTCCATGTAGGTCCCTGTGGACACAGGGTAAACTCTATGTTAGTGCGATGTTGGGTCTCCATGTAGGTCCCTGTGGGCAAATGTGTACACAGGGTAAACTCTGTGTTAGTGCGATGTTGGGTCTCCATGTAGGTCCCTGTGGGCAATCGTGTACACAGGGTAAACTCTATGTTAGTGCGATGTTGGGTCTCCATGTAGGTCCCTGTGGGCAAATGTGTACACAGGGTAAACTCTGTGTTAGTGCGATGTTGGGTCTCCATGTAGGTCTCTGTGGGCAATCGTGTACACAGGGTAAACTCTATGTTAGTGCGATGTTGGGTCTCCATGTACGTCCTGTGGGCAATCGTGTACACAGGGTAAACTCTATGTTAGTGCGATGTTGGGTCTCCATGTAGGTCCTGTGGGCAATCGAGTACACAGGGTAAACTCTATGTTAGTGCGATGTTGGGTCTCCATGTAGGTCCTGTGGGCAATCGAGTACACAGGGTAAACTCTGTGCTAGTGCAATGTTTTGGATGGACCATTGATGAAGATATGTTTGTATATAAAACTTTGTAGTCATAAGTATTGGACAAGGAACATATTGATAAGCTTGTGTTCGTTTTGATTGCATGGGTTTTGGATATGAGTTGCGTGCCTTGGTGTTGGCACAAATATAGTCATGGAAACGAATAAAGGAACACATGAAGTACAAGTGTTTCTATATTCTTTTCCGGATTTCCTGTCATGCTTTATATTGCACTGTGGGTGAAAATCCGGAAATCAATGAAGGAATTAACATCTGTACTTTCATGTTTCCCCTTATTCGTTTCCATGAGAATATAATTCTTCATACTTTCTGTCGATAGTTCTGTATACGTATCCTTGAAAAAGTTAGATTTAATTTCAAAACAATATTCTAATTCTCTCTATTTGAGAGGGAAACGACTGACCCTGTCGCCTACCCTTCTGAACCGTGTTCCCGCCAACACAGAGCTGTTTATTAGCAAGGTTCCGTAACAGAGTTTCAAAGCGGCTTTGAAACCAAGCCACTCACTAGATTAATTTGAGAAATGTCTGCAACGAAACTTTATCGACCAGGGATCTCAACAAACACTGCATGTGTAGACGTACTGAAAAAAAAGGGTTGTCGAATCATTCATATTACACACAATCTAATCACTGATAACAGAGGATCGCTTTACTTGGTGGTCACGTTAAATGCCTCCCTATGCGTCTGCCTCTCAAACTCTGCAGACATATTTTAATGCGGGATTTCTGTACTTTTATGTCAGAGTCTCAGCGATGTGACACCACTACGGGAATAAGAAAGCAGGAGGGATGTGTTTCCTGGCGTGATACAATACCACGATTGAAGTTGACATCATGACAAGAACAGCTAGGTCAGTTCGCCCTGAACCTTATTAAATAGTTACTAGTGGACAACAACTGACAGCGTCCTTGACTTGAACTATAAATGATTACAGGTGTATGTGTTTGCTCTTTACCTAGCAATAATTTTTGATTAACGACTCTGTCATAAATAAATAAATTGCAACAAGATGCGTGCGATTACTCATGGTAATTGTGACCGGAATATTGACCTGACAGCAGATGGTTAGCTCAGTTGAGAGAGAACATATGAACACAATGCCATGATGTTTACCTTGATGTCAGACAATCGTCTGATTCTGGCAAAATGTTCCCAATCTGAATGTCCTGAAGTATTTACAAGTTGCTGGAGAAGTATAAGAAGTGTTTACTGGAGGTGTCTGTCCAAGTTAGGCTTTATCTATCACCTGCATAAAGAAGCCGTGTTTCTAAATCCGACTGGGATATTTTTTGCAAGCTTTGTTTCCCAGCCTATTCCTCTCAGTGTGTTATGCCCTTATTTGTTATATTGTAATCGTTCAAAGGATACTACAGTTAATTATATAATACGGATATACGAAAGATTTTACTTTAATCAACATGGCCAGGTACTAGAAGTTCTGGTGCAGTGTCTTTCTCCTTTTACGGGACCATGCTGCTCTTGTCAGTAACGACATGGTGTTCTATGTTATATACACATAAAGAGGCGATTGGTATTTAAGATCATGTAATCCTTACAAACATAATTACATTTAGTTCTCAGCTATCTATAAATTCATAACTATTATCACGATAACTATTCGTAATGTCGGATATATTGGGTGAGTGAGATATCGTTCCATAAACATTGCATATAATTCTACTGGCAGCACAATGCAGTCAGTGAAGGAATCAGTGCTACTCATGCAATGTTCACACGCTAGTTGAACGAACATCCGTCTCTTTCTTATTAACATGTCATAAAAGGCACGCTTCACAAAATTCCTTCTCTCATATATGTCCACCTCATCCTCAAAGAAGTTTTGTGGAGCTAAATTTCCGACAGGTATGGTCATTATGAGATCAGATAAATACGTCAGACCTGCATGCCCCTGAAGAGAGAGGAGATAAGGCAGACCTACATGGCCCTTAAGATAGAGGAGATAAGTCAGACCTGCATGACCCTGAAGAGAGAGGAGATATGTCAGACCTACATGACTCTTAAGAGAGAGGAGATATGTCAGACCTACATGGCCCTGAAGAGAGAGGAGATAAGTCAGACCTGCATGACCCTGAAGAGAGAGGAGATAAGGCAGACCTACATGACCCTTAAGAGAGAGGAGATATGTCAGACCTGCATGACCCTGAAGAGAGAGGAGATATGTCAGACCTGCATGACCCTGAAGAGAAAGGAGATATGTCAGACCTGCATGACCCTAAAGAGAGAGGAGATATGTCAGACCTGCATGACCCTGAAGAGAGAGGAGATATGTCGGACCTGCATGACCCTGAAGAGAGAGGAGATATGTCAGACCTGCATGACCCTGAAGAGAGAGGAGATATGACAGACCTACATGACCCTGAAGAGAGAGGAGATATGTCAGACCTGCATGACCCTGAAGAGAGAGGAGATATGTCAGACCTGCATGACCCTGAAGATAGAGGAGATATGTCAGACCTACATGACCCTGAAAAGAGAGGAGATATGTCAGACCTGCATGACCCTGAAGAGAGAGGAGATAAGTCAGACCTCCATTACCCTTAAGAGAGAGGAGATAAGTCAGACCTGCATGACCCTGAAGAGAGAGGAGATATGTCAGACCTGCATGATCCTGAAGAGAGAGGAGATATGTCAGACCTGCATGACCCTGAAGAGAGAGGAGATAAGTCAGACCTACATGACCCTGAAGAGAGAGGAGATATGTCAGACCTACATGACCCTGAAGAGAGAGGAGATACGTCAGACCTACATGACCCTGAAGAGAGAGGAGATACGTCAGACCTACATGACCCTGAAGAGAGAGGAGATATGTCAGACCTGCATGACCCTGAAGAGAGAGGAGATATGTCAGACCTGCATGACCCTGAAGAGAGAGGAGATATGTCAGACCTGCATGACCCTGAAGAGAGGAGATATGTCAGACCTGCATGACCCTGAAGAGAGAGGAGATATACCCTCAGACCTGCATGACCCTGAAGAGAGAGGAGATATGTCAGACCTGCATGACCCTGAAAAGAGAGGAGATAAGTCAGACCTACATGACCCTGAAGAGAGAGGAGATATGTCAGACCTGCATGACCCTGAAGAGAGAGGAGATAAGTCAGACCTACATGACCCTGAAGAGAGAGGAGATAAGTCAGACCTACACCTGCATGACCCTGAAGAGAGAGGAGATATGTCAGACCTGCATGACCCTGAAGAGAGAGGAGATAAGTCAGACCTGCATGACCCTGAAGAGAGAGGAGATATGTCAGACCTGCATGACCCTGAAGAGAGAGGAGATATGTCAGACCTGCATGACCCTGACCCTGAAGAGAGAAGAGAGAGATATGTCAGACCTGCATGACCCTGAAGAGAGAGGAGATATGTCAGACCTACATGACCCTGAAGAGAGAGGAGATATGTCAGACCTGCATGACCCTGAAGAGAGAGGAGATATGTCAGACCTGCATGACCCTGAAGAGAGAGGAGATATGTCAGACCTGCATGACCCTGAAGAGAGAGGAGATATGTCAGACCTGCATGACCCTGAAGAGAGAGAGAGATATGTCAGACCTGCATGACCCTGAAGAGAGAGGAGATATGTCAGACCTGCATGACCCTGAAGAGAGAGGAGATATGTCAGACCTACATGACCCTGAAGAGAGAGGAGATATGTCAGACCTACATGACCCTGAAGAGAGAGGAGATAAGTCAGACCTACATGACCCTGAAGAGAGAGGAGATATGTCAGACCTGCATGACCCTGAAGAGAGAGGAGATATGTCAGACCTACATGACCCTGAAGAGAGAGGAGATATGTCAGACCTGCATGACCCTGAAGAGAGGAGATATGTCAGACCTGCATGACCCTGAAGAGAGAGGAGATATGTCAGACCTGCATGACCCTGAAGAGAGAGGAGATATGTCAGACCTGCATGACCCTGAAGAGAGAGGAGATATGTCAGACCTGCATGACCCTGAAGAGAGAGAGATACGTGAAGAGAGAGGAGATAAGTCAGACCTGCATGACCCTGAAGAGAGAGGAGATATGTCAGACCTGCATGACCCTGAAGAGAGAGGAGATAAGGCAGACCTACATGACCCTGAAGAGAGAGGAGGAGATATGTCAGACCTGCATGACCCTGAAGAGAGAGGAGATATGTCAGACCTGCATGACCCTGATGACCTGCAAGACCCTGAAGAGAGAGATATGTCAGACCTGCATGACCCTGAAGAGAGAGGAGATAAGTCAGACCTGCATGACCCTGAAGAGAGAGGAGATATGTCAGACCTGCATGACCCTGAAGAGAGAGGAGATATGTCAGACCTGCATGACCCTGAAGAGAGAGGAGATATGTCAGACCTGCATGACCCTGAAGAGAGAGGAGATAAGTCAGACCTGCATGACCCTGAAGAGAGAGGAGATATGTCAGACCTGCATGACCCTGAAGAGATATGTCAGACCTGCATGACCCTGAGAGATGTCAGACCTGCATGACCCTGAAGAGAGAGGAGATATGTCAGACCTGCATGACCCTGAAGAGAGGGAGATAAGTCAGACCTGCATGACCCTGAAGAGAGAGAGATATGTCAGACCTGCATGACCCTGAAGAGAGAGGAGATATGTCAGACCTGCATGACCCTGAAGAGAGAGGAGATATGTCAGACCTGCATGACCCTGAAGAGAGAGGAGATATGTCAGACCTGCATGACCCTGAAGAGAGAGGAGATATGTCAAATGACCCTGAAGAGAGAGGAGATATGTCAGACCTGCATGACCCTGAAGAGAGAGGAGATATGTCGGACCTGCATGACCCTGAAGAGAGAGGAGATAAGTCAAACCTGCATGACCCTGAAGAGAGAGGAGATATGGCAGACCTGCATGACCCTGAAGAGAGAGGAGATAAGTCAGACCTGCATGACCCTGAAGAGAGAGGAGGTAAGTCAGACCTGCATGACCCTGAAGAGAGAGGAGATAAGTCAGACCTACATGACCCTTAAGAGAGAGGAGATATAGGAGGAAATCAAGATTAGCGCGGAGATATAGGTCAGACACGACAGGATCCTGATGTAGGGACGATACAACACTCATCATCATCATCATCATCATCATCATCGTCAAATGGGCACACATGCAGGTCCGACTGACATTGCTACATACAATATTACTCATTCAAACATTACTCATTCACAGCTCAACATCAACAAATCTATAGTCTGTTTGCAGTGAAAACGTACCGATGAATTTTACTTTAAACAAAAAAGTAAATCCAATAAAGTGAAATTAAGATTGCGAATACTCATAATGCCACCTTGCCAATTGAACATTCAAAACTCAGAATATTATTCAACTTAGGATAAAAGTAGGTTAACAAGCGATCATTGTTTCAAATCGATATTATTGGTTTGCATTGCAAGTTTTTTTGTGTTTTTTTGTTTAAAGTGAAATTCCACGGTACGTTTTCACCGCCGACTATAATGAATCGAAACATTTGGAATACATTTACAAAACTATGCAAATGTTACACTTTGATATCAGCAAATATTTTGTTAGTTATGAACAATTTAGTAAGTACCACGCTTAAAACCGTTCACATTTCCTTATCAATGAGATTGATGGATACTGGCTAGTCACCGATGGACTTGATTAAGGTTTTCAATATATATAAAATGGGCAAGGCTAAATGGCTGTAGCATATTCGCAATCTAGCCAGGTGTTCTCAGCTCTATTGATTCAGCTTTTATCAGTTATGTTTACGCCAGGCCTTCGCAAGCAAGAATAAATAAAATGCCCGACGCGCTAGGACAAATTCAAGCACGTATCTATCCGAAAACTAACAAGAGCAAACAACACTATCGTTATCATAAGAGATAGCTAGGTGAAGGTCACTGGAGGCAGTCTGTCACAGTGTAAAGGCTCAATGAAATCATTAGTACTTGCAATGAATCCTGTCTGCTATTTGGTTTCCTTCACGTTCTGTGTTTGAGACGTGATGCGCACTAGCACCCACATGGACGTCACATCCTGGCATTGCTTGTATGGGTACAACGCCCCTGCTCTGACAACACACACAAAGTTATGTTTAACAACTTCTGGTTTATTGCGTTCAGCGACGATTCGATGTATCTAGCGATGCGACAACCAATTATTGAAGGGTTCATAATTTCTAAATGAAACACAGTCCTTAACAACGTGAATTCTTCTTGAAGACCACCCTCCAGATTGTTATTGGGACATATGCTGGAATATTGCTGAAACCTCTGCAAAATAGTGACATTGACACTCACACCCCGGGGCCTAGACTCGAGTAGTTCTGGCAGCTTTGATTCTGGTTTTTCTAAACCTCACACTGTCCTGTACACCCTTATTATGAAGTAAACAAATGTAACAAATCTAAGAGCAAATCAAAATCACAATTAATCCGAAGTTATGTCTCAATTCTACATCGGGCATTTATTATTACATCTAGTCATCTACACAACCTTCCCTTTCAGGATGCACTTGGAGTAAACCACAACACTCCTTATTGACGTACCGGATAAACACGTCAACAGGAGCGCCATTCCCCCGAACGAGCCACACCTACCCCAACCAGAGTGGTTCTGAGCAAGACACGTCGATTTCAGCTGTCATCCACAATTAATAGCCTGGGATGAAAATGTTTCGACAATTACTCGGAATTTACATATGGTAAAAGGGAAGAATGTCCGGATAAACCTGATATTGTGTATTCATGATGAATAACCGCTATAAAGTGATTTCACGTAACGGCTGTTTTTTGGCAAGATACAGTGCTAGAATCTCATGTTGCTGTTGGCCAAAGGAAAATGGATTTCAACGTATCCAAATATTTTGATTAAATGAATCAGTTTAATGTTCACTCAGTCTCTTGTTACCTCAAACTATTATCTAACAGTTAAATTTCTTGTAGAAAACGTTCCAATATCCGTCATATTCCTTTGACACGTATTGGAATATTGACAAAACATATCCCAGTACTCAATTCAGTATACCAATTTCTTCTATGACAAATATTGACACACATGGATTTTATAAAAGAATCTCCGATTACGGCGGCAGAGTGTATTCTGAAAACACAAATGTTAATATACATATATATTGTTGTTTAACGTCAATACAAAAGACATTTGCCCGTAACTTGAGACGATCCATCATCAGACCACAACTCTATTATCCTAAAGTGACACAATCTTAATGAGATAATTGTGTTTGAAAATGTTTTATCATTGTTCATTGATATTAATGGCTGGTGGAGGAAAGAAAAGAATGAACTGGCTGGTCACATTAAGGACACAGAGTCAGACTGACTGACTGAGTTTAGTTTTACGCCGCTTTTAGCAATATTCCAGCAAAATCACGGCGGGGGACACCAGAAATGGGTTTCACACATTATGCCCATGTGGGGAATCGAAACCGGGTCTTCGGCGTGACGAGCCAACGCTTTAACCACTAGGCTACCCCACCGCCCCACACAGAGTCAGAACGACAGCATAGTAATGTAGACCAGTTCTTTGTGTCCTAGAAGGTTTTAATGTAGGTGAGTTCTTTGTGTCCTAGAAGGTTTTATTGTAGACCTGGGCCTCCTTTCACAAAGCACTAAGGTGATCTTAAGTCACTAAGGTAACCTTAGTGCAAAGTTAAAGAATGGGAGTTAAGGTTAACCTTAGTAAAGGTTGCATGGAAAGGAGCCCCAGTTCTTTGTGTCCTAGAAGGTTTTATTGTAGGTCAATTCTTTGTGAGCTTGGAGGTTTTAGTGTAAGTCAATCCTTTGTGTCATAGGAGTTTTGTTAAGGTCAATTCTCTGTGAGCTGGGAGGTTTTAGTGTAGGTCAGTTCTTAGTGAGCAAGGACGTTTTAATGTAGGTCAGTTCTTTGTGTCCTAAAAGGTTTTACTGTATATAAGATCTTTGTGTCCTAGGACGTTTTAATGTAGGTCAGTTCTTTGTGTCCAAGAATGTTTTAATGTAGGTAAGTTCTTTGTGTTCTTGGAGGTTTTAATGTAGGCCAGTTCTTTGTATCCCAGGAGGTTTTAATTTAGGCCACTGGAAGGCACGTTGGCTGAGCGGGTTAGGCGTCCGACCTTGTGTGCCGGCGATTAGGTGTGGAGTGTGAGCTCGAATCCCTGATGGTACTCGACAAAAAGTACTAGAATCTGTACTTTACAAGAAAATGTAATCCCAAATATAACATATGTAACATTTGACCACTTTCTAAATGGCATTGTATATTCAGTGAAGAAAGGCATAGGCTCATACATCTTTTCAGGGTCAATATATTCAATATTGATTCCCTACTTATTTTACATATTTTGGTTGTGAGCTTCACTTGGATTGACTGATGTCATAGTTCTCCACGTACGTGGCTCTTTAATAACATTAAACAAATCTTTTCATGGAAGGTGAACTAGAATGTTTTTACTACCGGGTATTTTGATCAAACATCATCCCACTGTCCGATACATTGATTCCAAGTAAACACTCTTTCCCCTACCGATATAATGATTTGACATTGACAATTGTGACGATTTCTCTCATACCCTTGGAGGATAGAAGTCCTATGGGATATAACGTCACTCATTTTTGCCCACATCCTGGAAAATGATAATTAACAGATGTCCGCTTATGGCTGGATATGTTACTAGCCAACCTCCACTAAAATGGTAGGTATATTTAATGTCAAGAATGTGTTATAAACATCTCTTCAACATTTATATGACAGTCACCTGTTCACTATCACTGAAACATCCTTTCTGTTCACTACACTGTGATGATGCAGGCATTGAAAGTATCAAAGTCATCAGCGAGGTTCCTGGAAATTCTTGGACTCCATTGTGCGACCCCAAACATATGATTAGCCATGCTTATGAATCACAATATGATAGCGTTGATAACAGGTGTTCGCTGAAAGTTAAGGGTATCCTGCACCCATTACAAACACACACAAAGCAAAGCCAATCTGGAATATTGGAATATTGCTCGACATAAAGGGAAGTTGTAAGTTTAAGTAATTCGACGCAAGACGTTGCAGATATTCTCAGAACCCCTACAGCAGCAACAAAGTTCAAAGTAGCCCACGTGTGTGATAAGGAGGAACGTCCGGCTTCATTGGGGACAGTGTCTATTGGAACAGAGCCAAGTAAACAGAAACGATGACGTTCATGGGTATCAAAGACAGCTGAGACACACTGAGAGACGGTTTCATCACTCTCTGCTCGAACAATGTGATGGAAAATGTTTTCTTATCGATCAATATTAACCATAATTCTTGTTTTCAATTCTTACAAGTGATTCGCTGTGAAGGGGCCAAGTATCCAGTATCGTGTGTTTCTCCACACCCTCTCCCTCAGCACTTTAACTGATTCCAATCAAGCTGGGCAGGTGACACAGATGGAAAGTGCGATATGATATATTAGACATGGTGCACTTTATGGCAGTGTGACATAATCATTTTGAGCAACAATACTGTATCAGATTACAACCTTTAGGCGGGAACAGTGCACTTCAAATGATTCGTAATAGTCTGTCGATTGCCGGGTAACGTAAAAGAAGGTAGAGGTATAAATCTGTCAAATGTGGCATTGTTATCAGAAATCGTAAAATGATGACATGGTTTAACCTTTATGTTTTAGGCACAACTGCACATTTGGGCACATGAACACGTGCACACCTCATTAGCATTATCACCACAGCCGCTGACACTACCACCACCATCGCCGGCACCACCATCATCTTCACCAACACCAACACATCCATCATTATCACCACAGCCGCTGACGCTACCACCACCATCGTCCGCACCACCTTCATCTTCACCAACACCACCACATCCATCATTATCACCACAGCCGCTGACACTACCACCACCATCGCCGGCACCACCATCATCTTCACCAACACCACCACATCCATCATTATCACCACAGCCGCTGACACTACCACCACCATCGCCGGCACCACCATCATCTTCACCAACACATCCATCATTATCACCACAGCCGCTGACACTACCACCACCATCGTCCGCACCACCATCATCTTCACCACCGCATCCATCATTATCACCACAGCCGCTGACGCTACCACCACCATCATCTTCACCACCACATCCATCATTATCACCACAGCCGCTGACACTACCACCATCATCGCCGGCACCACCATCATCTTCACCAACACATCCATCATTATCACCACAGCCGCTGACACTACCACCACCATCGTCCGCACCACCATCATCTTCACCACCGCATCCATCATTATCACCACAGCCGCTGACGCTACCACCACCATCATCTTCACCACCACATCCATCATTATCACCATAGCCGCTGACGCTACCACCACCATCGCCCGCACCACCATCATCTTCACCAACACCACCACATCCATCATTATCACCACAGCCGCTGACACTACCACCACCATCGCCGGCACCACCATCATCTTCACCAACACATCCATCATTATCACCACAGCCGATGACACTACCACCACCATCGCCGCACCACCATCATCTTCACCCCCACATCCATCATTATCACCACAGCCGCTGAGACTAAGATTACCAACACAGCCACCAATACCTCTACACCATCACCAACATCACCACTACCAACATCCTCATCCTCACCAACATTACCGCTATCAACATCACCACCACATCCATCATTATCACCACAGCCGCTGACACTAGCACCACCATCGCCGGCACCACCATCATCTTTACCAACACCACCACATCCATCATTATCACCACAGCCGCTGACACTACCACCACCATCGCCGGCACCACCATCATCTTCACCACCACATCCATCATTATCACCACAGCCGCTGACACTACCACCACCATCGCCGGCACCACCATCATCTTCACCACCACATCCATCATTATCACCACAGCCGCTGACACTACCACCACCATCGCCGGCACCACCATCATCTTCACCACCACATCCATCATTATCACCACAGCCGCTGACACTACCACCACCATCGCCGGCACCACCATCATCTTCACCAACACCACATCCATCATTATCACCACAGCCGCTGACACTACCACCACCATCGCCGGCACCACCATCATCTTCACCAACACCACATCCGTCATTATCACCACAGCCGCTGACACTACCACCACCATCATCTTCACCAACACCACCACATCCATCATTATCACCACAGCCGCTGACACTACCACCACCATCGCCGCACCACCATCATCTTCACCACCACATCCATCATTATCACCACAGCCGCTGAGACTAAGATTACCAACACAGCCACCAATACCTCTACACCATCACCAACATCACCACTACCAACATCCTCATCCTCACCAACATTACCGCTATCAACATCATCACCACCATCACCACCACGATAAACACTCGAAATGTTGATAATCTCACAAGATCCATCGTTCCATCTGCTGCCTGACTGAAAGTATTGCGAGGAAAGCAAACCCAACTCACATTTGATCAAATATCCTTGCATATACTTACTCATAATATAGATGAAGATCCTTAATGTCAATTTATAAATCACACGTAAATTATCATCATTCTCATTATTCATCGTCGTCGCAATCATCATCATTATTGCGTGGAGTCTTATACATCTAGTGTGGTTCATGAGGAGCCCAGAAATGTTCTTGACAGAAGCCTATGGCCATCAGATCACTTACTTATACATGTATTAAGATGTATCTGTATCGAGAATGTCCATATATTATGTGCATCAGTTA